CCAAATCGGTCCGGTTCAATTTTTGATCGGTTGTTGACTTTGTGGTCAACTCGATTTTTTTCCGGTTTGATTTGGTACGGTTCGGCTTGGATTTCCGGTTCGCCGATTTGAGTGCCCACCCCTAACAGCCCAGGTGGCTTCTTTTTTTCCAGCTGATAAAAAAATTATAGCCCAATCAGTGACGGATCTATTAAGGTGCTGCCTTATTTCCATTTTCAGCGTTTAAGTAAATGTCTTTCTCATTTTACTTTCATTTATTTTTATATTACTCAATTTACTTAAATTTACAATGTAAATAAGGAAGTACCCCCCATTTGGATTCAAATAAAAATACTAAAAAATCAAATTCCCACCAAATCCAAATATGAAAAATCGGTTTTAGTACAAAATAAGATTTAGGCTAAAAATGATGGTTCATTAAGTCAATATATACTTCATACTAAAATCCCATAAAATAAAGTTTTTTTATTTGATGTGTAAGGAATAAAAGCCGCTAAAAATTATCTTGATAAAATGATTATTCCAAAAACCTATTTTTTATACTTAGCCAATATTTTTACATAAAACAATTTTTCATGTATTATTAGTTATCGTTATCAATGAAATTACATCATACGGTTGAGTTTTCTATCTACTTAATATGTTTATGTGTAAGTTAAATTTAGCCCAATCAAATTTGAAATCCTGGATCCGTCCCTGAAAGCCAACATCATAATCAACTTTTTGAGCCTCATGCTCATCCCTCCAAAATTGAGGTAAAAGCAAACTTTTCCTCTTTTCACACCAGAAGAACGGCACCAAGTGGGCGGGGTTGGAAAAGCGACTTATTTGTTTGTCATTTTTCGGAATGACCCATGTACTTTTTTAATTGAGGTGTTCAAACTGACCCAAATAACCAGCAGGAACAGCTCATGGGAAACTGGAAAAAGCATGCCATTTTCTATTTTCCAAACAAGCAAGAAAACGACATTGAGCTTTAATTTTTTATTTTCTTTTGTCGTGGACGACAAATTCTTGACTTTTATGCAGATTTTTCCAAAGTTCGTGTGCTTTATTCATTTTCCATTTTGTGTTTCCTTCTTTCTATCAATTTCACAATTTTTAAAAAAAATTGTGCGTTATTTTTACTAATCTAATCTCTCAACCCGTGTTTACACGTTTACACGAGGCTTTCTTTTATGCAAATTCGCGTATGTTATTTTTAAAAAAAGTTACTCAAATCTAGGAAATTCTCTAATGACTATTTAAGTTAAGGATTTGTTACATATTTCTAATTTCAACTGTTGAATTGCATTCATTAGATGTATAGGTAAATTTAATATGCAACATACATATAATTAATGATCGAGATTATAAATATGTAACTAATTTTTAACATAAAATACTTATTGAAAAATTTACCCTCAAATCACTCGAATGCTCAAATCAAACACTTGAAAAGTGTTAGTAAAGTCAAAGACAAAACATAGACATCCCTAAATGGCTTGTCTACCACCTTGTTACTTTTCCTTGTTTTCATATTCCTTGTTTTAGGGATGGAAACTCTCCATGTTTCCCTCCATGTCTTGTGCATTGTTTGTAACTAATAATCACCTTGTATACTTGTATATCTAACCCTTCACTAAGTAAGAAACTCAATTGGCAGATTTGAATTCTCTGCAAAACCTATCTTGTTCTTCTTCATTTATTCATTGATTGAAACAAATTGCACATCAATTGTAATGTGTAATTAATTGGAAGGACAAGATGCTGATGAAATTTAGGAACTGTCCTAAAAAGAAAGGGTGCTATGGCAGTTGAGGTGATAGACGTATTATACACATGGATGAACCCAAGGGCCTTGACAATGAAAGCACCAAAATAGAATAGCCATGCCTGCTCCGGAAGAAATTCTTGTGTAGGATTGCCCTAATACGACAAGAGTTATCGCATAGGTAAAAACTTCTCTTGCTCTTGCTCCTAATTTCGTTTATGTTGCTCAAAATGAAGAATAAATTGAGAAACATAAAAGAGGATATCGGGAACTATTCTCTTATCAAATATGTGATACATATTAGATTATCAAAATTGTAATTCGACACTGTTCTAGAAAATAAAATTGCGTTCAAATTAATAACTTTGTTAAATGTTATTGAACGTTCCAAATTAGGATTGTGTGATGAGAGAACATTTGTGATAAGATACTTATCCACAAAGTGAAAGATCACAAAATTAAGATGGCTTATTCAAACCATAAAGAAATGGGCCTACATCTATTATTATAGTCATTCTCATTAAAGCAAATGGGATCATAAGTCTCTCTCATTAGCTCATCTTCACACCTATATTCATACCCCACAACTCTCATCTTTTTATTCCAATCAATCATCGTGCACCACTATGCAACCCAATTGGATCTAACCCACCTCAACCCATGCCATCTCATAATCCCACACACACACCCCTTTTAAAACCCCAAAAACAAGTCCTTTACACTTCTTCTTCTTATTCTTCATTTTTTATTCTTTAAAACCCACAAATTCAAGTATTCAGAAAACCAACCACCAATTTCTGTCTCTCTGTAAAAAGAAACTCTGAACCTGGTTCTACTGAAACTTTCGTTTTGTTGCTGTTTGTTTAATCCACACAAGTCTTTTTCTTTCGGATCTGCCGGTGTGTGTTCTCAAGTTTTGTGCCGTCACTCTTTGCCTTACTTTCCGGATTCTAGATGCACACACACACAAAAAAACAAGCACCACCCAATCACCCAAATGCCTTAAACAAATCCAATTTTTAAGATCAAATTAAACAATTGATCATCCATTTTCAAGACCTTTGACGACCCAATAATTCTTCCCACCTTTCCCCACAAAGTGAATCTTTGCTTCGTCATCACACTCCTTAATTTGATATACTTGATATCTTTTTGTCACTATAAATAGTCGCATATAATATGCTACAAGATCATCAGCTAGTCCAGTGTCGAACACCTTAGCTACTGACTCTTAGATCCATAAATTCTCCAAGAAATTCAATTTTTTATGACAATTTCTTCATCTGGGTAGTTTTATTTACACTTCTAGATTAGAAATTCGCAGCTTGTTTGTGTTTGTGTTTGATTTCCATCAATGGCGGCTGTGAAATCATCATCTTCATCGGTATCAAACCCAGTTTCTGATCAATGTTCTGACCAAGAAAGCAGCAACAAATCTGAGCCGTTAATTCCTGGGTTACCGGACGAGATTGCCGAGCTCTGCCTTCTTTACCTTCCCTACCCCTACCAAGCTCTGGTGCGTTCTGTCTCTGCTTCGTGGAACAGAGCCATCACAGACTCTAGCTTCGTTCGCTTCAAGAAATCTGTGTCTCTTCCTCTGCCTTATCTTTTCGTCTTTGCCTTCAACAAGTTGACGTCCAGGATTCAGTGGCAGGCGCTGGACCCTCGATCGGGCCGTTGGTTTGTTTTGCCTCCTATGCCATGCCCCAAGGCCGCCTGCCCACCGGGCTTCGCATGCACATCGCTGCCACGTCAGGGGAAGCTCGTTGTCTTGGGCGGCGTGCGGTCAGACTCAGAATGTTCTACGCGTACCACCATCGTGTATCGTACGTCTACAAATCAATGGTCAATAGCCGCTCCAATGCGGACTCCACGATCATTTTTTGACGCGGGAAATATCAACGGTAAGATCTTGGCGGTTGGCGGTGGTGTGGCCCGCAATGGTGATTTGATTAGGGCCGTAGACTGTTATGACCCCGAAAATGACACGTGGGCGGCGTCTGCCGCGCTGCCCACGAATCAGGCCAAGTACGACTCCAATGTGGTGGGAAACAAGATGTACGTCACAGAAGGGTGGGTGTGGCCGTTTATGCATTCGCCACGTGGCGCGGTCTATGACCCGGACGAGGACACTTGGCAGGAGATGAGGCGGGGGATGAGGGACGGGTGGACGGGGGTTAGCGTGGTGGTGGGTGAGAGGTTGTTGGTCATATCGGAGTACGGAGACTGTCCGATGAAGGTGTACGATCCGGATGAGGACACATGGCGGTATGTGAGTGGGGACAAGTTCCCATGTGAGGCACTGAGACGGCCTTTTGCTGCGAGCGGGGTGGAAGGGAACATATATGTGGTGGCATGTGGGTTGAATGTGGGAATAGGAAGGCTGTCTGAGTGTGGAGGAGGAAAGGGTGAGCTAAAAGTTGAGTGGCAGGTTGTGCCAGCTCCAACTGCTTTTAGGGGCTTCTCTCCTTCTAGTTGTCAAGTGCTTTATGCCTAAAATAATTGAGTTTCATCAATTATCATTCATGTTTGTTTTTGGCTTCGTTAGGCAATTCTATTTTAAACTATGCACAACCCAACTTCTTTTATATTGTTTACATAATAATATTCTACAGCTAGCCCTAATATTTGCTTTGCTCTTCCACACACTTTTTTAGGTTTGTTTGACCACTTCGATGAGCCAACTTACTCTCGTTGCAATGAAGTTTTTCTCCTCTCGGTGGCCTATGTGATCCGTCATATCTTATCTTATCCAAATCTTGTAGAATATTTTGCATTGGCTCCAAATTAAAGTTGCTAATGATAAAAAGAGAAAAAAGGACCATAACCATTCTTGAGGGTTTTCAGAGTCGGAAGATCTTTTTCATGCCTTTAATTATTGGATAGAAAATTCAAAGCAATCCAGTTAAGGCCAATTTTTTTTTAATAAGATGTGAAACATGCACGGGTCTCACAGCTTTTACTTTATGCTTTCGATTAGATTTGAGCAACTTGAGTTGATTATATTTGACATGCGTCATGATGTTTTCAGAGAAGCTTTGAGTTGAGTTTGAGGCAAGTTTCCATCAACAGAGCAAATTGAGGAATAACCAATAAAAAAAGGACACGGCATTTTTGTTTTTTTCCATCACTTACGTCGGAAAGGGATGCTGAAGAAGCATCAACGCGGTTAAATATGGCATAAAATTCTCATCTTATGTAAAATTGAAATTGTCACGTTTGGGGTCTAGAATCTTCTACGTACGCGCTTATTACACAACAATTGGACCTTTCTCCATCCTTTCCAGTTCCCAAAATTCCAGACTAGGCTAGAACTTTGAAAAAATCCCAAAAGAAACCTCCCTATATAAACATGAAGCCTTGAAAACTTTGTGATCATACTGCCTGCATCTATTATCTTACCAGCAAATAAACAGCTTTAACTTAGCTTCTTCAGCCTTGAAACATACCAAAAACGCAGCAACCCGAGACAGAAAAGAAGGAAAGAGAGAGAAAGGAGCAAGCAACCCAGAAACCCGGAAAGGCTCGAGAGGGTTAAAGGAAGAAGGAACCATGTGTTTCGTGTTTGTGTGTGGTGAAGATGAGACGGTGCTTTCAAGGCAACCAGCACCAGGGGCATGCCCCTACTGTAGAGGAATGGTGCAAGCCATGGATGTTGAGAGCCGGTGGACGTTCTGCTTCCTGCCTCTCTACTGGAAGACCAAGCGCAAGTTATACTGCACCGTGTGCACTAGGCGCTTGGTAGTGCAGTGATATAAACCCAAATCATAAATACAGAGATTGCAATTTGTGCTCGTGTATATATATAGCAGTATATATGTAATATGACTTTTTGTTATTACTGCGAAACAAAATGACAGGCTCTATTTACATGTGTGCATCATTTTTGTGTAGTTCTTTCTAGATTTTGTTTGATTGCTCTAACTAAATTGAAACGCAATCTAGTTTCTATTTCTTATAACCCATCGAGATTGCCATGTCTGCCAGTTGATCTACAACCAGCAACCAGTTTCATGGTTTTCCTTTTGGGCATTTCTTGCAATTGAAAACATCAGAGGGAAGTATGTTCTAAAGTTTTCAATTGCTGAATCTCAAGGGCCAAAGGGTGATGAATATCAAAGCTCATAAGGGACAATTCTCTTTTCCCTAAGAGAACATCGAAAAGTCCATTTCCTCTCAAGTTTCCAATTGCTAATTCACAAGGGCAAACACAAAACAGAGTCCCATAGCAAAGCCCCACAATTAGACTGTTAATCAACTATGTATTCTAACTTTTCCAACATAAAGGGCAAGCAAAACTGCAAATCTTTAAGAATCAGTTCATAAATGAGAGGATTTTCCTTGGAGCTCATATACTAATCGTAGCTATGGATTGATGGGATCAACAATCACATCACTTACAGAGTTTCAACTTTTTAAAATATGCCGATACCACGGATTTGGGGTAAGGTTTTGTGGCGAGACAAGTTGGGTAGTTTTCAGGTTGTTCAATCCACAGTTTGTGTGCTATGCCACCAGCTGTGAGCTTCTCCGACAAGTTCAATATCTGGGGTTCTCCTTTCACCTCAAGAGTAACCTGCACAACCATTGTGATCAGTACTTTTAAAGCAATTGCAGCCAAAAATTCCAGCATACAATGACCAAATTTGCAAACCCCACTGATCGGTTAACATGAAAATTCCCACCCAACTTGAACACAAATTTCTGGCACTAATCTCAATGCCCCAATTGAATGAGCAATGATTTTAACCCAAAAACATGAACATCACCATTACTAAGAATCACACTTTCCCTTCAACATTTGGAACCAAAAACATCAAGTAAGTTCAACCCAGAAATCAGAAAATGTTGCTGCACTAAAAAAATCCAACCTTTCCAACATCACATTCAAACCCAAGTTTAATAATTTGAAATTATACTGACCAAAGCACCATAAAGGAGCAAGCTTTACAAGTTACCTTGTGCATAGAGTCGATATTTTCTGGGCTACAGTACTGAAGGGTGTGAGGGTCGTTTTTGTGGGACCAAATGGCGGATACGGAGGCATGACAGCCCTGTGTGACCACGCTCCCCATCGGCCACGTGTCGATTAGGTCACGGCGGAGCACCACGTACTGAACCAGGACGTCCGGAGGGGTCTCGGATTTCGAGGTGTCCGAGTTGGCTTCGGCAGCGGGTTGACTCATCGAGTTTCGGACGAGTCGACTCGGGAGAACGGCCGCGTTGGAAGAGAGTTTGGCCCCAAAACCAATTGGAGGTTTTGAGAGTGAGAAAGAGAGCGTGAGATGGGAGTGGGAGGAGGTGCAACGAAGTGGCGCCACAAGGCACGCCATGGTATAATTACACGTTGGAGCATCTGCATCCTGTCCTACTTTATGTTTAATTTGATGTTTTTTTTGCCTTGTAGGGCCTTAACTTGATGTTTTTGGGTATTGCCTGACTTGAGGCCCAACCCAAGCTCGATAATAAAATTATTATGGGCCCGTTTGAGACTCTTTACGTGGGAAATAATTATGCTCATAAACGTTTTTGCTAGAAACACTTTTTTTTTTTGTTGATAGAAAAACATGTTGGGTGCTTCATCAGAAGCGCTTTTATTAAAAGCATGTTGAAATGTTTATTAAGTTTCAGGTGCTTCGTAAAGAATCACTTGTTTGGTGCTTCACCCTAATCGCTTTTACACGTTGAAATGTTTGTTAAAAGATTTCAATACTTCATGAAGAAGAAATTGCTAGGCACTTCACCAAAATCATGTTCATTAGAGACACGATGAAATGTTGATTACAAATTTAGGTGTTTCGTAAAGACTGAGAAGGTTGACTCGAGAATAAATTTCATTGAGGGCTCCGTCATAAGATTATGTAAAACACTTTTGATATCTACCTATACAAGCTTCAACTAGGCTATATTAGGTTCAGCTCGAGCTCAATGGCCTGCCATGCCATGAGTCGAAAGATACTTTGACTCATGGCCCGGCCCAGCTTAAGTACCTTAATGGGCCAATCCATCTCGCGTGGAGCCTAACCCAAGACAAATCAACCTAGCCAGGCCTATTTTACTAACTGGATATTGGTAAGATAGCTAAATGGAAATTGGAATCGAAATACTTTTTGGAAAATAAAAAACAAACAAAAGCACACACCCACACAAGGGTAACCGAAGCAGTCGATATTTGACTCCAACACCTAAAAACAAGGTCGATGATGACACATTATTGAGTTTTAGTTCCTCCTCCAGAAAAAAGATTCTGGTGACTTCCGAAGTCAGGTTTTGGTTTCTATCAGTTTCTGTTTCATATGTCTACTTGTTTGCTGGCTTTCCTTGTTTGCCCCGACCAAACAAAAATCCTTGAAGCTGTAAGCCCGTAACCTAATCAATCAGAAATGACTTTGAACCATTTCAGTATCTTTGTGATATGATCGAGTTGAAGTCAATAATTTTCTGGAGAGAAAAAGTAGTTTCTTTTTTCCTTTTTTCCTTTTTTTAAGGAACAGGATAAAAGATCTGTGATATTTTAAACCCTGGGCTATGTTCCATACCAAAACCTGACCAAGATAATTGATTGAGGGGCAAACAGGTCTTTATACTTGAGATATCCGATTCAGCAGATCATGTATATCCATTTCCTATTAACACCCAAAAAAAATAAAAAAATAAAAAAATAAAAAGAATAATCCAAAAGATAATGGAGATAATATTTACTAAAACATATATTTTATATAATTTTTTTCTGGGTGGACATAGAAACAGACACAGACCCTCCAGCCAACAACCCTAAAAAACAAAAGAAAGAAAAAGAAAACCAAATAATCAACCCAAGTTGATGTTGTTAATGGTCTTGCAGATCTGAGAGGCAATAGCAACTTCTTGACTTGAAACTCTTGAGCCTTCTGTCAAGCAAATTCTTTGGGGCTCTTCTGTCTTGCTGTTCCTTGTCATCTGATGAAGATTGGTCTGATGATGGGTCTTGCTGTTCTTGTTGTTCCTGCTGCTGTTCATCATCTTCTTCATCTTCTTCATGTTCAGCTAGGGCTAGCAAAGGCATGGACTTTGGGTTGGGCCAGTTGTAGAAAGATGAAGACTTTCTTGACCATTTGGAGGCAATCAAAACCCTCCTCCTCTTGTTGAATGGGTTGTCTCTCTTCTCCACCTCCTTCACTGAGCTCACAGAGCTCACTTCTGACAGACTTGCAAATGACTTTGATTTTCCTGAGAAGTAATTGGATAATCCCCTCCTGAATAAACAAATTTTATATATTAAAAAAAAAAACCATATGAAAATCAACCCAAGCTAATTAAGCAAGTTATTAACATATAAAACCACTAATTAAATTTTAATTAATTAATTAATTAATTATTACCAGGATCAAAACTGAAATTCAACAAAGATGATCACTTTAAGCAAAAACATAAAATGAAAATTCCATGTTGCAGATCTAAACAGTGACTTACTTGATTGGAAGAGACTCTTCTAACGAACCAAACGAACCCAGAGAACCCAACACTCCTCCGCCTCCGCCGCCGTTAAACTTGCTCTGCACCTCCTCGCCGTCGCCGTCATCTCCTTTGGAATCGTCTTCTTCGCTGTCGTCGGGAGCCCCGATCGAGGACGAGCTATCCGAGGAAGCCTCCTCGGACCTCGGCCGCGCATCCACGTTCTGCTTCACGAAGAGACGGCCGCGGCCGTCCCCGATGGAGAAGGCGGGGCCCACCAAGACATCCATTCAACAGAGAGGTTGCTGTTTGTTTGTTCGGTCTGGAAACACAGCAGCAGTAATAACAAAAGAGGATATATAGTGTGTTGCTGTTGCTGCTGCTGAGGCGGCGGTGATGGAAAATTTCGGGTTTACCCCTCACCGCTGCGACGTCGTCTTCGTTTGAGCTTCCAGATTACGGGGCTTGTTGTCATCAATTGGAAAAAAGGAGGAGAAGAAGAAGACGGTGAAGCAGAGTCATAAGACACAGAGAGAGAGATGGAGAGAGAAGCCTTGTGTTGTGTAATTAAAGAGAGACAAAGGGGAAGAGAGGGGGTAGGGGGTGCGCAGGTTAAGGAAGAGGCAGGGGGTGGAGGATAAGCCAAAACCCACAAATATAAATAAATTGAAAAATAAAAAAAAGGAGGTAAAATGGTACAATTAGACAGCTATACATATAGACAACAGTAGTCACAGGGCTCACAACAAAAACGCAACACATGGACATGGGTGTTGGGGTGCGGTGAGTAAATTGGTGGGTGTGTTTAGAAGAGGAGAGGCTAACGTCCGCCGTCGGCGAAATAGGAACCACGCGCTTTGACACGTTCGTAATTACGTGGCAAAGACAGTGACCAGAAATATCCACTCTAACTTATCCTGTTGTTCGCTGCCTTCTTCTACACCCTTCCACTTCGTTCCCTTTTTTATTAAAAAATATATATATATATATATAAATTCAAAATACAAAAAACCCTTTTCTTTAATTTTAATTTATTTTTGGTTTTGTCCCCGTTGGGGTTGTCTGAGCAGGGTTTTAATGAGGTCTCGTTTGTTCGTTCAAGTCTATAACCTTACACTATTTGAATGAAAATTTACTACTTCCTCTAAAAAAAAAGAATAATGCTATTTAGACACACAACATTGACCACCTTAGCTGACTACCTTATGTGGCAACTGATGTATCATGTCATGTCAATTGATGAATATTGCCATGAGGCCACTTACTAGGATTGCTAGGATTTTTTTAATTTGGTTTTTAATGGACATAGCGACATTCATTAATTAACTTGGCATGACACATTAATTGCCATATAAGATGGTCAATGTTGTGTGTCTAAATAGCATTACTAAAAAAATAAATTATTTTGATATTTCAATTTACCCCGACAATTATTAAGTAATGTGATGT